GTATATATCTTATTTACTATTTAATTTTTTTTTGGCATGTTTTTATATGTTATAAATAAAACAATTAAATTTAAAAAACAATTAAAGTTTTATTTGTATATCAAGTTATTTTTTATATGACTATTTTTAATTGATAATTAAATAACTTTTATCAATATTCTGTACTCAAGTTTAAAAAAAATACAAATGAAAACTTTTTCTACTGAATATGAAAGCAGTTCAAGCAAATTGTAGTTCCATTTTCAAACTAATGATTATCAAATAAATAAAACTGAAAAAAGTTCTGCATCAGTCTCAAGTTTTATAGCAAAGTATACACCAGATAATCTGACTCTATTTATATATTACAACTTTTTTTTTTTATTTTGAAGATTTTTTTTAAATGTTAATGATCACATTAGACTATGAAAAAAAAATTGTTATTTAAGGTTATATTACTTTAGGGATTAAATTGAAAGTTTTCTTCAATAGGAGCTAAAATGGTGGTGCAAAGTGGGCTGTGCCTTCAATACAAGAGTAGAAAAAAATAGCCTACATAATAATCAAATAGCGTATTTATTTTATTTTACCTTATTAATAAACTTAAATTGGCTCCTCCACTTCAAATATAGTTCCTCTAATATAGTGAATAATACTTATATATGCACTGTAAGCAAATACTTAAATAGTTATTTTGTGTATAACTATGGAGCAAATTTTGACAATTCAACTTTTAATAAATGTGTTTTTATTTTTTTCAATTTTTATTTTATTGTATCAAGAGTATGTTTAGACATGAGGGCAAGGAGATGGGTAAAATTTAAGAGCATTTGAGAAAGTTCTACATATGTGAAAACTTTTGAGTCTTGTGAGTAGCTATAAAAGTTCTATAAATCTTATTTAAGTCGTAGGTATAATCAAAAGGACAATATAAGTGAGAGAGTGTTTTTTATAAAGATTTCTATAAGTATGTTAGTTTAATCACAGGGTATCACTTAATGCATTTACTTGGATACCCTGATTAGGTATAATAATATTGTATTAAAAAGATTTATCTTTTTAATAAAATATTGTGGTTAATTTTTATCAAATAAGATGGAATAAAACAAAAAATTAAGGGTAAATGTTAAAACAATCCATAAACTTTTTTTAATTTATATCACTTGTCACAAGGTGCTGATTTATTCTTATTTTACTTTTGATTTAAGTAGATAACTTTGTATCTTTATTTCAAATTACAGCACATATCTTTCTTATTTCAGGTCGACAAGATATTATTAAGTTTGGATCAAAATACAGATCTAGCCCAGACACTGTTGAAAACAAAATCATTAACGAAATAGCATAAAAGATGCGAACCTTTTCCGAAGTTCTAACGACATTAAAACTTATTTTTTTAAAGTTAATTTAAAACAGCTCCGAATAAAATTTATACTTTGAAGTAATGTTTTTTCAATTAACTTTTTCCCTTAAAGTTTCATTTATAAAACCTTTTAATTAATTTTGTGAACCACGGCGATACCAGTGACACAAAAAAACACACTTTTTTTCATCTCGGCCTGTGTATTTATAAGAATTGTTATCCCGCGGGGAGCGTATTTTTTTATTGTCGACTTTAAGGAGATCTAATAAAAAAAAAAGTTAAAGTCAACTTTTAATAAAAAAAAATTTCTCGAAAACGTTAAGTCGACTTGACATTGAAAATTAAAGAAAAGTTTCAAAATATTTAATTCCTAATTGAACAAGAAGCCATTTCATTAATTTTTGAAAAAAAAAAATTTTAATTTATAAAGTTATACTGATTTTTGAGGCGTCGACTTTCCGCGGGTATTTTATTGCTGTCGACTCAAAGTTGATCTAGTGGTATATATATATATATATATATATATATATATATATATATATATATATATATATATATTTATATATATATATATATATATATATATATATATATATATATATATATATATATATATATTTATATATATATATATATATATATTATATATATATATATATATATATATATATATATATATATATATATATATATATATATATATATATATATATATATACACATAGGCACCTGCAGAAAATTTTCTAAGGGGGGGCAAAACATTTTTTGTTATTGCTTTTTTTCTTGTTATCTATTATGTAAAAATCAAGATATGTAAAATATAAATTTTTTTTCTATATTTACAGGTTAACTAAGGCAATACCTTTTTTTATAGAGAGAGTCATGTTAATTAAAGCGACTGCTACAGTTGCCGAAATAGGAAAAGGAATAATGACTTTATTCAAATATGCACTCGACAGATCGAATGGTGGTGGTCACTACAAAACAACATTCATACTTTTTCCTAATTGTTCTGAAACTATTGTTAAATAAAACTTTTTTTTTCAAACAATTTATTTTATTTGCATTTTATATAAAGTCCCTTGAAGCAATTTAGTTGTATCTGATTAATTTACGTGAAATATAATATCCTCTGCACAAATTATTGCTTTTTTATTGTGTTATTTTATTGCAATTAAAGTTGAGATAATTTTTTAGTTAATTGGATTTTAACCAAAATAAAAAACAAAAATCATCGTTGAGTTTACGTTGTTTCGACGTTGTTCTAACGTCGTATCAACTACATATCAACCTATTCAAAGTTGAAATATGGTTGATATGTAGTCGATATGACGTTAGAACAACGTTGAAACAACGTAATCATTGACGTTGTTTCAACTTCGGATTTTATTTCCAGTTTAACTAAATTTCAACGTTGTTTCAATGCGGCATATGGTCGGTTTACGACGTTGTTTCAACGTTATTTCAACGTCATTGTGCCTGCTGGGTTTTTACAAATATTCAAAGGTTAGCAGTTGTACAACATGTTATATTACTTCAATCATGTTTTGCGGTTCAGCCTCTGGTCAAGATGTTTATAAAGCTGACTATCTATGGTTTTCATGGATCAAAAGTGGATTACCTAATGACTGATATAACCGAAGTCATGATGGCTTGATTCTGTTTAAACTATCTTTCAGGAGCTAAAGTTCTTGATAATAATCTAAGCAATCATTCCAGTGAAAACTTAAATTAGCTGAAGAAAATAGTGTCTTGTTTACTTGCTTATTTCAGTGACGGATGAGGACTTCTTGGGGCCCGGGGCTATTTTTGTTTTTGGAGGCCTTTTTATGGGCCAGAGCCTGAAAATAACTTAAAAAGAATAAAATAAAAAACATTTGGACCTCTAAATTAGTTAATAAAAAAAAGAAATTAATTCAATTAATTAAGAAGTTATTTGAATTAATTCTAATGCGGAAAGTAAAGGAAGAAGTTAGAGGACTGGGTAATCGTGGAAGATTTGAGGAAGCGACTATCTTCCAACAATCGACAATCAATTGACTGAAAAATTTCTTTAGTGCGAAATTTTTTGTTTTACTATTGAGAGTAAACAATTCGCGACGTTAGAATTATCTTGTTCTATCTCCACTTTCTGAAAAAATTAAGTTAATGATAGTGTTAGGTTCCTCCTTGTCTTTCTACTGAATTGAAATCTAAGTTATAAGTAAAAAAGTTGCAGAAAAAAGCATAAGTTATAAAAAAAAAATTTATACCCCGTCTCCTAAAAATTTCGTTTTTTAAATCGTTTTATCTCAAAACTAAAAAATGTGGAGATAGAGACAGATAATTCTTATGTCGCGTTTTGGCACTATCCCACATTTTCCAACAGATACAAGTAGTTGATATAAATTTAACAAGGATAAAACCAATCGCACTAACACACTTAATGCTTAGGAAGACTTGTAGGAAAATACTTTGGAGATATGAGTGTGTATATATATATATATATATACACATATATATATATATATATATATATATATATATATATATATATATATATATATATATATATATATAAAGAGTTTTGATTATTTGAAAAAATACAACTTTGTGATAATACTGATCTATTTAGTAAACAATTTACTTAATATTGATCACTCTCAAACAAACAAGAGACTTTGTATCATAATTTGGTACAATAAAACAACATCATATATATATATATATATATATATATATATATATATATATATATATATATATATATATATATATACATATATATATATACATATATATATATATATATATATATATATATATATATATATATATATATATATATATATAGCTATATTCATTTTGGATCAGTTCTCACAAAATGTAATTACATATTACAAATTATAATTACAAATTGTTCGAAGTTTGAGATAAAAAGGTTTTTATTTCTTTTAAACTTACTTTTTTTATTAACGCATGAATTTCTTTGCCAAATATTCTTAAAAACCAAGTGATAGCCAATGTTTTATATAAGGTTTTCTAACACCAAAATGAAACAGTCAAGGTTTAGTCAAAATTAGCAGCAACAGCAGCAATTAAGACAGTTTACTGCAATTAACTGTTTTTTCTCTACCGAATTTTTGCAATCAATTGTAAAAATCGAGATGAACTAACCAATCATATTCTGCTTGAAATAAAATAACTGTAGCCGAGTTTTAGTCTCATTTTTACATCCAAGGAAACTGATGAAACATCTAGCTCTCAACAGAAAACAACTCCAAATAAAAAAAAAATTAACAGAACGTTGCGTTGAAAATTTCACGCAATTATAAAGTTGCGTTGAATTCATGTCTCGGCACTTCTGTCGGATTATTCTGAGTACAGGCAAAAAAAAGCGATTTATTCAATACTCAAAGATCGCTAGAAAAGGTACAAGCTTTCAAGTCCCATCCTGATGGAACTTTAAAGCGTTCATGCTGTTTTAAACATTACAATGCTTAAAACAGCATAAACGCTTTCCTTAGGTCAATATGAACACTCTTGTATTAAGAACGTTTTATGCTTTAGGGCAACAATAATAACTTTTTCTAAATTACATATTAAATCATTCTCTTAAAAATTTAGGGAAAAATAAAAACAAAAGTACCATAATAAAAGTAAACAAGAAAAAAAAAAGTTAAATAAACAAGATTTTCATTCTATTACAAAAATAGCACAAAATTTTCAAACATATATTCCAACCCATAACAGTAAAAATAATGTGCCAAAACCCATAAAAATAGCTGCAAAAAACGCTACAAGAAGTTCCTTATAAATATCTCTCGTGTATTTTGTTGATGTAACTTCATAGCTATATGTTAGAGTTAAAGAAATATAAACTTTTTAAAAATAGAATATAAACAAACAATAAAAATACTTGCAAACAAAACTTATAAATAACATGCTTGTTCTCTCTAAAATACAGATGCTTCAAGTTTTTAAATAAACTATCGATGAATTCCATCGTGACGGAATCACCGATTTGAGCTTATTTTTCACATTTATGTTATAAAAATTAAAAAACTGTAAAGTGCATATTGTTATTCTATATGATATATGTGTATGTCACACTTTGGCCTGAAATACTTCTAACACCAAAAAACTATAAACACATAATAATCATATAATATTAATATAATAATATGCGTGACAAGCATTTTATGGTATATTATTATAATAACACATTTCTGCTCTCCTATTTAAATTTGCATAACTTCACAAATGTATGTGTGTGTTTTAGGCCAAAGTGGGACGAACACATATATCATATAGAATAACAATATGCACATTACAGTTTTTTTTTTTATAACATAAATTTGGAAAATAAGCTAAAATCAGTGATTCCTTCACAATGGAATTCATCTATCAGATTTTTATTCTATAGAGCAGAAAGTTTTGTACTTTTTTCTATTTTTTAGAGTTAATAAGATCACAAACAATTTTAGAGTTCGAAGACGAAAAATAAAAACATTTAATAGAAACATCTAATTAAAAATATTTTTATTTTTAATTATTGAGTTTTATTTTTAGATACCGAATTTAACTGATGTAATTTTATTATAGAAATATAATTGTTTATCAAAACCACGTCTTTATTATGAAATACATGGTTTATTAAAACTACATTTTTATTATGACAGTCATGATTTAATTATCAAGGTCTAGATTGTCAAAGTTGATTTAACTTTAATTACAATAAAAAAACAACCCAAAAATACAAAAACATAATAATTCAAATGATAATTATGAAAATTAACATTTTTTATAAATATACAAATTTTATTAATGGTTTCAAAAAATAAATAACACAAATATAGCAGAAAAGATACACAAAAAACCAAGCAGTAAAGAAAATCCCAATACCGAGAAGAATTAGAGTTAAATGAGGGTATAAAACAGGATTTACAGGACTAATATAACGACTCATCTGTTCAATTCCAATATCCTTAACAAAAAAAAATTATTGTAATTTATATATAAATAAAAAATAAATTCAAAAACTATAATTATAAAATCTAAAACAAAAATAAAGATAAGTATGAAATTCTTCTTCACTAAAAACTTGATAAACTATTAAAATAAAAAAAGACCAGGAATTGAATTTTATTGTCTGTACTATTATAGTCCTTTTGAGTACTTTATCCTGTTTATTAGTCCAGTGTTTTGAGTACTTTATCCTGTTTATTCAGCATTAGTCCAGCATTAGTTGCCAGCTTGAAACTAAGACTAATCAATATGTTCATCAACAACACTTCCAGTCTTATCCAATTTTTTGCAAATAAACTTTTTCTGAAGATTATCTATTTCACGAACAATATACTATACAATAGCTAACACTTTTACAAGTCAATTAGTAAGACTTGTTACGAAAATGTATTTAATCCAAATTAAAAAATTGAGATTTGGTGACAATTACCGGTATGTGTGGCATAACATGGTGTAAAAAACTTATAATACCACAAATGTTACAGAACTTATTCTATGATAAAGAGTTTTTTGGAGATGAGAGTAAATCTTGACTTGACTTGGGTAACACTAAACTCTCAAAAACATATCGACTAAGTGTGAAATAAAACATTTAATTTGACTAATCAGGATATTATTTATATCAGGATATAATTTATATCTTCATAGCTTTCTACATTGAAAAATCTATAAAATGTAGCATGTTTGAAAACAAATTTATAATTTGTTACAAAGATATAGAAAACACTAAAATTACTTATAAAAAATTATTAAAAAATTATAAAAACTACACATTGAATCAAAGATAAATGAAAATTATTAGGTGACTTTTGTTGGATTAAAATTTGTTCATAAATCTTTCTCACGTGTATAGATAACTATAGATAATAGAGTAATATCATTAGTGATGGTAAATAGTATACTAACCATTGTGATTTTATTATAATGAAACTGCAAGTGAGAAGTTTGATGTGGCTGCGGTTATCCTTGACTCAAGTAAACGTATTTATCGCTTACCAAAAAACCAAAACACGTAGTCTTGATTTTTAGTTAGGCATCACACTGTTAAGAATAACAACATTAAGAATAGAACTTGCAAAAATGCGAATTAAGAGCTAGTTTAAGCATTAGTAAATATTTTTAACGTAAGTAAAAATTCTTTAGATTCTTCAAAAATTAATATATTTATGATATATTAATTTATAAGCTGAAAATTTAATCAAAAATGAAATAAAAAAAAGGCTTTAAAACTGTTTCAAAAAATTAAATTAAGCCGAAAACCCAAGTTGACACTTATACGGAATAAGTATTCTATTCGCGCCATCATAGCTCGATAGCTACTATAATCTTAATACGAAGGTATGGTAGGCCTGGCTCAACCTTTGTTTTTTCGCATATTCCATGATATATAAACATTTTTGTTAGCACAAAAAAGTTATATTTTATTCTGAGTTTTATTCTGAAATTTCAACTCTGTGATATAAGAATATTATAATTTATGCATGAATTTTTTATATGGTATAACATTTGCATCAAATATTGGTTTTATAATTTTTATGCATGTTTATATTAATGGTTAAATTGTAAGTAATAGTAGTAGTAGCATTAGTAGTAGTAGTAGTTACAACATAAGCTATGAATTATAAATATTTGGTTATAGAAAAAATTATCACAGAATCAAGTTTAAAAGAAAATCTAATGTGCAAGTTTAATCAATAAAGTTAGTGATTAACAGTTAACATAAGCAAACTTTATGCTTGTTGTAATAAAACAAAGCAAACAAATAATAAAATAGCTAGCATTTGTTTTATAATATTAGCTATTTATGAGCTAGTGTTTCTTGAGAATAATAAGTTAAAATCCTAATGATGTTAGTTTGAAGCAAATTTTTAGTATGAAGTATGAAGATATATTGCATTACATCCTTACTATATTATCCTTAGTTGCATTTTCTCAGTAGAAATGAGCCAGGCAAAGTTTTATCAGTTGATGCCAGTATTATCAATTTATGTGGTCAGTATTGTTTGATAAGTTATAATACAAAAATTTTAATCATGTATTAAAACAATGCATTTGAAATGCAAGAATATAAACAAAAAGTGTTTTTTAATCTTCCAGAATGCATAAATTCTAACAAAAAAAATAAAAACAATAGTTTTTAGGCAATTACATCTGAAAAAAATATTTTTATGTAAATTGATCATTATTTTTGAAGTTTTTATATAATTTTGCTTCTTTTGAGTACCAGGTTAACATACTTTTAAATTTTTTTTTTTTTCAAAACATTAGGGACTTGTATATTTAAGGGTCTTGAGGAACCTCTAAAAATATTTTTTATTCAAAAAAATTTTAAATCAATTTATCATTTATGTTAGATTATGTAACTTATTGCAAACATAATATAATAGGTATTTTGTTTTTTAATTCAAGTTTTAAATTCAAGTTAAATTTTGTTTTGTAGAATAAAAATGACAAAAACTGATCATGCTACTGTTATACCTTGGGTACTAGCATCTATTGCTAAAGTTAAAGGGCAAAAGCAGCAACCAAATGAAGAAAGAATATGTTTAGTGTTATTGCAGTCCTATGGGCTAAACAAAGAAGAAGGTCTTGAACATCTTTTAAAATGTGTTGAAGAAGGTCATGTTGTTGTGCAAGAAGCTAAAAACGGGAAGAATTCATATCGAAATGCAAAAAGTGTTGCTGCTGCTGCAATTGGAAAAAAATGTAAATGAAATTTTGTTTTTTAAATTTTAGTGTTAAAATTGCCTTATAGTAATTCACAATGCAAAAAAGTTTGGTTTTTGTTTTACTTTTTATTTTTTTAATAACACTTAATTTTTTATTGATATTTTATAACTTTTTCATTTATTTAAGTATAAAATAATTTTAACAAGATAGAGCAAAATTTAACAAGATAGAGATTTTATATATTTTTTCTCTTATTTCAAATAGCTTTTTCTTACTCAAGCTTTACAATTCAAGTGATGGTCACTAAAGAAATTGCTTATGCTCACACTTACCTTTCATTACATAAGCTGTATAAGTTTACAGTTCTCCCAAAACAAAAACATTTATAAAAAATTTTAGACATTTGAAAAATTTAATTTTTTTAAAAGTATCCTTGTATAATTTAGTTTATATAACAAGGCAAACTTTGAGTTTAAAAGTGACCTGTGTTGCTATAGAATCTGCTTATATATTTTTGAAGAAATTTTAATCTTATTTGTTATTATTAAAGAATTTCCACCTATACTTTTTGCTACTGATATATTCTTTAGTACATTTGTTGTGGAAAGATGCGTTTTATTTACTATAATACATAAAATGTGCATTTTTGCAAAGTTTTTTTCCTAATTAATATATATATATATATATATATATATATATATATATATATATATATATATATATATATATATATATATATATATACATACAGCGCTCAAAATAACGAACGATCAATGATCGTCTATTTTTAGGGAAATTTCAAAAAATTCAAGGGAAAATAACATGTTTTTGTGAAAAAATTACATTTGATCGGCAAGCTTTGAAAACTTATTTCGAGCGCTGTATATATATTTTATTTTTTTCCATAAAATGATTGTTTTTGAAATTTTTACATAATTTCACTTCATTTGTGACCCAAATGACATACTTTTGAAAAACTTTTTATTTTATAATATTAGGGACCCGTTGAAATTACCAAAAATTTTAGGGCACCTCAAGATAATTTCTTTTAGCAATGATATTTTCCAGAGTATTTCTAATGTGAATACACAACTTTTGCACACACAGGCTGTTATAATTTATAAAAAAATTAAATTTACCGCGCCCTACACTGCATTGCACATCATTTTAATAATAAAACAAGAAGTTAATATAAAATATCAAGTATATATAATGGTAATGGAATTGTCTATATATAATTCAGATCTTCCGGTCATTAAATTTTTAGCTTTTCAAAAACCCTAAAACTCTGTCTTGATCACCAAACTCAATAGCTGTTATTCAAAAAATATTTATTGTAAAACCATATTATTACTATTATTTTTATAATTATTAAAGATTATGTTTTATACTTTAATATTTTAATTAATTATATTATAAATCATCAGATAAAACTAGAAAAATAAAGCATAATAAAGTACGATATTGAAAAACAACGGTTAAACACAACAGTCTAAAGGAATTTGCTTGTAACTCTTTTGCAGATATGTATACAAAATTCATAACAGAAAAAGTTTAAAAATATATAAAAACTAATTTAAACTTTTTATAGTTTTTTTAAAACAAAACAAAAAAACTTATTTATCTTTAAATATATCTTGTTTATTATTATTTTTATTATCATTAATTAATTTCTAATTTAAAACATTTAAATTTTTAAGTAAATAGTTCCTTAAACTTTCCCACTAAATAAAAATTGATATTGATGTTTCTTACAATGCACAAATAGCTTTAGGATAATTTTTTGTAGCAGAGTGAAATAAAAGTATAAAAGGGCGTCTAGTGGAAAATAAAGAGCCTCTAAGAAGAAAAGTACTAAAAATTAGTTATAGTAAAATGTATTATAAACAGGAACAATAAACAATAGTTGAAGAATGTAAGAGTCATTAATTGTTGTGCTACTGAATGTTGTTAATGTCGAGCGAAATGTGATGTATAGACAGTGTCAGTGATGTAGTAGAATTATTCATTTTATAAGTAGTTACCATGTGGTCTGTATTATTAGTGTTATAAAATATAGGTATATGTGTTTCATGGACATCTTGATTATATTATTAATTCGCGTCTAATAGTACAGTATGAACATAAGAAGACCCCCAGCTTTCATCTGAGACTGGTATCCCATTAGGAGTTCCATTCTGGGTGTACACCAGGGTATCTTTTTGCTAGAGTATCCCTTTATGTTATCCCAAAAGTATCCCATGTTTTAATAAATTATTTTAAAAAAACTTGAAAATATTGACTTTTTTTATTATCACCTTAAAAACAATAGTTTTTTTTTTTCAAAACATTAAGGACTTGTCAAATATTTAAGGGTCTTGAGGAACCCCTAAAAATATTTTTTATTCAAAAAAATTTTAAACCTAGTGTTTTTGTATTACATAGAACACATTTAGTTAAGAGCAGGAGACTATTTTTAAAATTATATATATATATATATATATATATATATATGTGACTGTAATATTATGAAAAGTGTCTGAAGTGGTGTAGAATTATTCGTTTCATAAAATAGTTTGCAGGTAGCCTCTAATCATTTAAACAAAGTGATGTGCAGTGTTGCTAATTTTGTGTTTAATTTTATTCATAGTGACTTGTGTCTTTAGTATGAGTTTTTTTTTTTTTATTTTTTATTTTATTTTATACATTTTTTAATGCTTGGTTTTCATTTTATTGTTGTCATCTCGAACCAAAATTGTTTTTTATTTTTAGATGGGTTATTTTTGTTGTTGGTTGTTTTTATTTGGTTTTTTCCTCAAATTTTATCGGTTTTAGTTTAAATATTTATTTTATCAGTTTTAGTTAAACATCTCAATTTATTACCTGTCAAGAGTTGTAATATAAAGATACTTTCCTAATTAATATAAAAGCCTTAAGCTTGTTTCAATATTATCTTACATTGCTTAAAAGATATAGTTTTGAAATTTTATATATATTATATTGATTTACCTTTAAAATACTTGATTATATTTTTTATGTTTCTCCTCCCCGAATGTTTATTTTGTAAAGGTTTTGATATATTATTTGTCTGTTAAAAATCATTATAAATACTTTAAAATAGTTTTTATATTATAAAATTGTTTACATGCCTAATGTATCTAAACAAAACCCAAATTTTGAAAAATAAAATTTGAAAATTAGTGAATAAAAATTATATTATTATTAGATTTATCTGTGAATATAATAAAAGAAGGTCAATAAAAACTGTTATCTTTTAAGAATATGCATTTTTGTTTATTGTTCTTATGCATGGCTTAAAATTTTTTGTAATTTCTGTTTTCAACTTATTTTCTAAAGAATATAGTTTTTAATGTATTATCTAGTATTTGTGTTGATTTATTTTGTAGCTCCTGGTGTAAACTATTTCCAATTAAAAAAGTGCATAGATGAAGTTATATCACGCTCACCACGGGAAGAAGGTATTACTATAGAAGAAATTGAGAGTGAAATAAGATGTTCAAAGGCAGATCTTTTAGATTTAGAGCATCCTGATTTTCATCAACAATTTAGGCAGCTCATCAAAAATGGAATGACAAAACATCGATATATTAAAGAGGGAAAGTTCTATAAAATGGCTACATTTTCTTCTATGAAGGTATACTTTATTTAATGGTTTTAATAAGCAAGTTACAATAAAAATATATATCCAGGCCTTGAAATAGCTGCTAGACATTGGACATTGACCAGCACTTGTCCGTTAAAAAACAACTATCAGTCATTTTGTCCGACCCATATTTTGTGTGCATTTATTTTATAATCATTTTAGTTGTTAATAATATTAGGGACCCGTTGAATTTACCAAAAGTTTTAAGGCACCTCAAGATAATATCTTTGAGCAATGATATTTTCCAGAGTATTTCTAATATGAATAGACAACTTTTGCACACACAAGCTATTATAATTTATAAAAAAATTAAATTCACCGCGCCCTACACTGCATTGCACATCATTTTAATATTTCAAAAATATTATTTCATTATTAATATTTCAAAATTAATAATAAATTCAGTAGTGTATATAAACTTCATTTTTTGAACTTTGTATTTTATTATACAAAACAGAAAATGAAGTTGAACACACAGTTACATTAATAAAATATTATTTAATAAAGTAATGAGTAAACATAATAATTTATGTATATATAATATATTTATAATATTTTACAAAGCAATTCTCATAGTATAGTATTTTTTTAAAAATGTAATATAAATATATTTTTCTTTTCAAATTTTAGTTTTTTTCTTTAAGATTTTCTTTTTTTAGATAAGTTATCTTTTAATTTTAGTTTTTAATTTTCAGCGCATTTTTGAAACCTCTCAAGTTGTCACAACAAACTGCTGTGGTTAAATAGAAAAAACAAAATATTTAAGCATAGTCAGGAATGGCATTTGATCAAATTTCTTTGGGTTTTATCGGACATGTCTGCCAAACTTGAGTATTTATTGGACAAATTGTCCAATAAATACTCAAGTTTGTTATTTCGAGTCCTGTATATCAGTTTTCTTTGTTTGGCCAGGGCTTTTGAGCTCAAGCCTTTTCGCTTTTTTTTACAAACACATAGTGCTTAAAAAATGCTTTCAAAAAATATCTGAGGGTTTTTTTTAATTTGCAACAAATCTTTTTTGATCATCAAATACATGGATGAAAGGTGTCCGTTTTAATTTGAATTAATTTATTCAGAATTTAAATAAAACATTCCTTTTTGTTGTTTTTATTTTTTTGTTTAGAATAGAAGAAAATGTTCATTTTGCCATTTTTATTTTAATTTCAATTAGAATTTATCTGATTTTTTTCACTTCTAAATTTAAATAGCAAATAAAAATGATTTTTTTAAAATCATGCATGCCAGTCTATTAGTGACCATTCAGCACTGATTTGTGCGTTTACATTTAATTTCAAATAGAGAAGACTAGTATGTGTAAGTGTGTATATGTGTGTCTATTTATGTTTTTTTTTTTATCTGACTATTTTGATAATTAAATAAAAGTCCATTAAGGCTTATAAACTAATATGAAAATTTTTATCATTATTTGTGCTAATTTCTTGCCATAAATTTTTTTTTTAAATCGAATGCCCTTCTTGGTGTGAACATTTTTTGAAGATTAATACTGAGTGTTTTTATTATTAAACTACCACTAGAAAGGTTACCATAAATGGTTTATGAATTTTTCTTATCACTACCCACAAATGAATGAGATGTTTTATAAGGGTTTTTCTGCCCTTATATAGGATTAGTTTAAATCATGACTAGGGTTACCCATCTAGGTAAATTGTTAGTATAAAAATATGCATCTTAGATGTTTGTTGTGGTTCTAGTTTATACAAGTTATGTCTAAATAATCAATAACAAAAGTTTTTGTAAAAACAGGTTTCATGAGCGCTTCTAGATTTTTAATGCAAGGGTCTAGAGTTCAACTCTTGTAAATTAGAACCAAACACGGTCATGTTTAAGATTTAATAAAAAGTTTTAAACTTTTTATTAAATTTAAAAAATTTTATATTGCTTTTTTTTAGAAATTTTATAAATTTTCTACTTTTAATAAAATGTTCTTTTGAAAAAATTAAATTATTACTAAAGCCAATTAATTATACATTAAAACCTTTTTTAGGCTAAAGTGAATAAATTATCAGATGCTGATCTTAAAGAAGGAATAACTCCAGAGGAAAGAGATGCATTAAAAGAGATTTGTGGATTTTGTAAAGGAGATAAGTTAAAGAATAAATATGACGAAGAGGAGGATCTTTTAGTTTGTGATGAATGTGGAAATAGCGGTATATAAAAATATTGCTTCATTGTATGATTGCTTATTTGAACAGAATGTTATGTTTTTTATTCTTTTAATTAAATTTGTTTTAATTTATTAAATAAAGAATTATTTTATAACAGCAGATATTTTTTTCAGCTTATAAATGTATACTTCAAACTTGTGTAGTTTTAATCTTATTAATTTTAAAAGTCCTGAGACGCAAAATTTATTTATACTATCTATGTAGGTCATCCATCTTGCATGCAGTATTCAAAAGAACTCACTGCTCGTGTACGTCAAGAGCCATGGCAGTGTATGGAATGCAAAAAATGTAATATATGTAAAGATCAAGGTGAAGCAGTAAGTATTCTTTAAAAAATTATTAAAGGTGACATTTATTTTCAAATATTCAGAGTTAACAAAATCATTTGCTAGAATCCTTAGGAGTAAGAAGTATAAAAAATTTATTTCAGTGTTTAAAGAAAAAAAATTTTTTAGGCCAATTTACTTTTCTGTGATGCATGTGATAAAGGTTATCACATGGCATGCTTGGATCCTCCTCTTGATGATATGCCAATAGGTAAGTTATAAGTTTTTGATTATTATCATTTCTTCAATATATTATCATATAAGAACTTTTTTTGTTTTAAATCATAGAGTAGCTGGATGAGGTAATGTCACATTTTTTGTGTGTCAATATTTTAGAGGAATTAACACATTTTATGGGTTATGAACTTTTGTACATTTGCAGATAAGCATGACAAAATTATACTTATTTTATTATATGCTATATATTGTGTGCAGGGTTGGCAAAAACCCGGCCCAGTGGGTTTTATTGGGTAAATTTGGTTTTTTTTGGGTTTAATTTTTATTTTGTCCCTGTAAAAAATTTTTGTGTATTTTTGTTAAATGATTTTGAAAATTAGTTTTCATTTTCTACTTTAACTTTATTTAAAATATATTTTATATATTGTTATTTAATTATTTATAGCAAGAATTTTTCAAATTATTTTAAAATAGGTTTTTAAATATAATTTAAAACTGTAATAGAAAAAAAAAATTTTAGGCTTAATCTATATGTATGTATTGATTTATTTTAAATTTAAAAGTATTATTCTATATAATTAAAAATGTCAATGAGAAAATGGGGAAAAGAAGGCTAGAGAATGGGAGGTAGTAACTGAAGTTTCAATTGAACTTTGAAGTTGAAATTCAAATGAACAAACTTGTTCCTCTGCGCAGCGGCCTTGTTTATAAAGATTTGTGTTTAGGAGTTAAAGAGTTAAGAGAGAATTGAACTACAATAAGGTAGCCTCCTCAACTGTTGTGTTGGCTTCTCTGGTCACTACTACTCATTTAAATTCAACTTGGGAGGTGAATAACATAAAGTAATAAAAATCTCAATCGATAAAAATATTTGAATAAAAATTGTAATAATGTATTTCCAAATAATGATTCAAATGATAGTAAACCTTCTCTGATAGCTGTTATTGTTGGTTATACTAGTTAATAATAATTTAGTTAATAATAATAGTTAATAATATTATAGTTATAATGTTAAAGGTGGTTATAATAGTTCATAAACTTATTAAATATCTTTATAAAAACCCAATAAAACCCAGATTTTCCAGGGTTTTATTTGGGTTTTTTTTGGTTTTATTGGGCGGGTTTTTTAATGCCAACCCTGATTGTGTGGCATCCTATGATGTTTATAAAGTTATGTCTAGAAACATATCTAATAAAGACAAGATAGATGGATGTTGTTCTATTTATTATTGATTAAAATGTTATACATGTTATTCTCCAATCTTCTTTTTATATAAGTTGAAAAAACAACACAAGTGGTAATAAATAGTGCAATTAGTTAAGAACATAATGAAAAGAAATTTTATTACACGCGATTAGATTATTTTAGAAAATGTGAACACGGCCGTTTGCAAGTTTTATAATAATGCTGAAAAAGTTTCAAAAACAAAAACAAACAAAAAAACTAACAAAATAAAAAGAGATTGAAATAGAAAAAAATAAAAACAAATTAATAATTTAAATAATTTGTTTACTGTTTTTATTTTTGTTTCTTTAGCGTGACATTCAGCAACAAAATTAGATAAGGCGAAGCAAAAAAAAAACAGTTTGAAGTCTACAATAAAAAGAATGATTTTCCTTTTCTAAATTTTTTTTTAAGAGGATAGTAAAAATAAAAATTGCAATGTGTTTGTAAAATTTATTTTTATAATTTTAATGTAACAACAAGGATTAAACTAAGCGAATGCAAAAGGCAAAATCTAGCATTAAAAATTTTAGTTTATACAAAACCGTATTCCTTGTTTATAAGGGGAGAATCAACTTAAATTTGTTAGCGAAAAAATAAAAAATAAAACAATAAACATACGATTACAAAAGTAAGAACATTCTAGTCACTAACTGCATTACAAAAGTAATAACACTATAATAGTGTTTTTACTTTTATAACGCACTTATAACTTTTAAAATCCATTCTTTGTTCAAGCAACATTAGTATTCCCAAATTTTAATTGAAGTAGAAAAATATCTAGAAGAATAAAGTGGATGTTCAAATAATATTAAAACTAAAGTAACTTATAAAAACGTGACAAACAACTTTATGAAAACGTTTTAAGAGTTTAGCATTATGAAAAACGTTACTAATAAACCGTAAAAACGCGCGTTAATTTTAAAATTAACCAATAAAAATTTTTTATTGGTTGATTTTAAAATTAATGCGCGTTTTTACGTAACATTTTTCATAATGCTATACTTTTTATAAAGTTCTTTTTTATAACATTGTTTAAATGATATGTGAAAGTTCCTGAAATTTTTAATAATATTTGAATATCCGCTTTATTTTTTCTAGATGCTTTTCTACTTTAATAAATGTTTGGAATTAATAATGTTGTTTGAACAAAGAATGAACTTTAAAACTAATAAGTGCTATATAAATGTAATAACACTATTATAGTTTTATTACTTTTAAAACTTTTAATAATTTGCTCCTTATAAACAAAGTACACAGCTTTGCATGAACTAAAATTTTAAAGACCTAATATTTTACCAGCGCGATCATATAATTTAACTCTCGATATAAACTTGTTACATTATAATTATACAAATATATTTTACAAACAGATGACGATACATATTTTCTCTTTTCTCTTTAAAAGAAAAAACACATAAAATATGGGAAAGTCATCCTTTTTAACGCCTAAAACCGATTTTTTTTTTTTTTTGCTTTGACTTCATGAATTTTGTTGCCAATAATAATAACCACTAAGAAAAAACAAAAATAAAAACAACAAACAAATTATTTAAACTAACTTTAATTTCTTATGCAGTTATTAAATTTAAAACAATTTTTCAGTAACGCATATAATATAACTTGCGCAAACGGATGTGGTCACATTCTCTAACTTGAAAAACGTTTTCGCGGTTGTATGAGAAAGAAAACCGCATGCCTTTCCTGGGAAGGCTTGATATATATATATATATATATATATATATATATATATATATATATATATATATATATATATATATATATATATATATATATATACACACACACACACACACACATACATACATACTTACTATAGCATATATAAGTAACAGATTGTTGCTAGTTTTTCCTGCCTTTATAGCGTACAGTTTCTTCAGAAAAATAAGAAATAAACAAAGAATAATGAAAGAAAAGATTGCTGCCCCATGCCAAAACCTCAGTTGATGTAGAGGCGCTCTTTTAGATAACATCAGAGATGTTATCTAAACACCCATTCATAATTCATACCTCCTTCAGCTATCTGCTTCTTTTTTTTTTTTTTTTTTTTTTTTTTTGTTTGTTTGTTTGTTTTTTTACTTAATGTGTTTTTTTAGTATTGTGTTTGGTTTTCTCTATTCAAACTATTTTCCATTTAATTTTTTATTATTCTACATATAGGCAAATCAACAAGTTTTTTTGTTTTTGTTTTTTTATGTTTTTTTTTTTCTTGTCTCAAAATGGCAAAAAAAAAGCAACCCTGTGTTATTTGGTTTGACAATGCAGAAAAACAGCTCTCATGTTTCATAACATATCCTTATTAAAGCATTTTTTAATTTTTAGTTTAATAAAGAGTTTGAGTATGTTATAACAATTTTATTCTTCTCTAATTACAAAGTTCATTTGTTCATTATCTTGTTCTTTATGAATAAAAATTTTGTTAAATATGAAAATGGTTAAAAATTATTGTTATCAAGTATATTTAAAAAATGTGTTTATTTAAAATGTACATATTAAAATAAAATAAAGTTAGTATAAATCAACAATTTAAAATTATTTTGAATAAAATGCAAATAAAATTATACAGATTTGTTTACATATTTTGTCTACTTTTTACCATGCTATTTATTTAACAAAAAACATTGGTTCTCATTCCTTAAAAACTTATAGTGACTTCCAAGTTAGTAAAAGTAACAATAATCTAAATTGGCTGTTTCTATTTTCTATTTGTTAAATCATTATCATGTTAAGTTTAAATTTATTGCCAAATATAACTGTTAACTTATCAAAAATAACTCATGATATTGACATCATTTCACTGTTAAACAGGTTGTGTCTGAAATAGTTGGTTATTGTCTGATAAAGTAGGTTGTTTTTTTTTGTTTATTTAAGTTTAAATTTATTACCAAATATAATAATATTGTTTTTAATATATTTATTACCAAATATAACTGTTAACTTACCAAAATTAACTATCATGGTACTGACATCATTTCACAGGGTTTAACATTTATTGTCAAGATATAATATTTTTTCAAATATTTAATTAATGAATAATTTAAAAAAAAACGTTATATTTAAACAAAGTTAAAATATAAATAATATATATGTATAAAAAAAAGAATACATAGTAGTTTTTTTGAGATTTTAGCAGGGATTGAAAATTACTGAATTCAAAAATTTATTGGGTTAAGTATGATCATTTATTTTAGTTTTGTTATATTGTTTATAATTTGTATTATATTTATTTATATATTTTTATACATCAGACAAAAAAGGATACATAAGCAAATAAAAAAAGCAATATAATTTTAATTAAACGTTAAAAAAAAGTAAAAGATTTTTTAATTCTTCTAATATAAAAAATTTCAGTTAGAGCCTTTTCAAATCAAACATTTTTGTATGTTTATATATTGTTAACATTAAAAGCTCCTTGATCATTAAACATGTTTATAATTATAAGAGTAAATTGTTGTAATTATAAAAATATTTGTTATAGTTGCATAATAGCCATTCTTGATTGTTCTTTTTATTTCTGATTATGTTCTTTATCTTTATTAACTTTTAATTGGTACTTGTTTGAAATACTATTGTCATGTTTAGGATTAGATTTCTAATGTCTTTTTTTTTTTATTCAGGGTACAAAAAACATATTTTAAATTAAGTTTAATATTCTTAAAAATGGAGTAACCATTGATATTACCATGGTTTTTTTATTCTATCCTAACAAAACTCATTCTTGTAAGAATTGCTTTTGTTGCTAGTTGTATCTTGACTTATGTTGTTACTTACTTATAACTTATGTTTTCTTTTGCTAGTCGCATATAGATTTACTTGCAGTTAGACTTATTATTTCTGTTGCCTTCCTTTCACAGTTGTTGTCTTTATACTTTATAGTTACCTTATTGACTTTTTATTGTTATTTTTGTTAGTTTAAAAAAAATATATATTAATACAGGAACATGGATCTGTGATAACTGCTTATCAGAAAGAAATGGAAAACGCCGAAGAATATCTAGCTCTGTTCCAGCTTCCCTTCTTCTTTCAACACCCGATGTAAAATGGAAAAGCAAAGGTGCAAGTAAACGTAAAGGAGGAGGCATTGGAAAAGATGAGAGTGATGAAGAAGCTGTGTAAGTTATTTTTTTGTGAAGCTTTTTAATGTTAAATTGAGTGTAAATAAAAGAAAACTTTAGCCATCTATCAGGTTTTTTTTTCTTAAATGCAAACTCAGCATGGAAAATAACGGCCGGTCAACGGTCAATGACTACCTGAAATGACTAAAAATGCTATTTTAACCTACCAAAATGAATTCTTGTCGGTCATGGTTAACTGGTTGGAAAAAAAATCAGAGATTTAAAAGCAAGGTTTGACAAATAATTAGTGTATTATTGGGAAAATGCATCTTAAAATTTTAATTTTATAAAATTATTTAAGTTTTGAAAAAGTGTTTAAAATAGTTTTCTTGTTTATGATACGCTACTTTAATTGCTAGCGGGTTAAAGCAAAAAGTTTGAAAGCAAAAAGAAGTTAAAGCAAATTTTTTCTTTAATCGTTTTATTTTTCGATACTGCCTGGTTTTTATTTTTGTTTTAAAAATGATCCAATAGATTTATTTTTTTATCAATATAATTCAATAATTAAAAATCACTAATTCGATAATAATTTTATATTATTGATTCTGTTCCTTATAGTATATTCAAGTATATATTAAATTTATCGCTGTTAAAACAGTAAAGTTAGAACAGTACTAATCCAATGTTTTCATATCAGGTTAATCAATATTTAGGTTTTAAATAGTTATAGTTTATAAACTATTTATCAATTTATTATTTTTGTAGTACATAGAGAGATTGACATAAGTTAAATTATGATTAAAAGTGCAAATAACAAAAAAATGGACTAGTACTGTTCTTCTTGGCACTAATTCAATTAATGCATATTAATAGAAACCAGTGATTTTTCTGCTTTAACAACCATGAACTCATTAATCGCTTTGTTGCTGAATGCACATAACGTACATAACTTATACGTAACGATGTAAGCTATAATCATTAAGTTTTTTTGTTTCACTTATTTGAATTAATTATATTTTCAATCATTTAAGAAAAAATCCTTTTTTCTTAAATGATTGAAGTTCTTATTTTATTACTATTTTAATATAAAAATTTTTATATATTATTTTAATAATAATATAATAATATATGATAAATTGCGTATTTAATTATGAACAGTTTTTCTTTCATTTGCACTTAGTCAATTTTTTTTTATTATTCTCTAAATTGTTTTGTTTATTTTCTTTAAAGTTTTGCAAATAAGGACCTGTTTATATGGAAAGCGGGCTGACTCATTTGCCAAGCTAGCCTGTTTGCCGAGATATCGTCGTCATCCTTATTTCAACTATTTTTCAATATATTTTTTTGGTGTTTATATGAATAAACAAGCTAGCCCGGATGGCAAGACCTCACTATTTTTTGCAGAGATTTTGGCAAATGGGCTGGTTAATTTCTTATATAAATTTGTACGCATGCGTACAAATTCTTAAATTTAAAAGCTTCCGCGTATGATAAACTAATAACTGACAACTTCCATGTACTTAAAATTTTAATTGTTTTGCTTTTATAATTTAATTAAATTTTAATTTTATTATTTGCATTTAAAATTATACTGCTGACAACTCTCACTCAAAATGGCTGATTTCATTGATAAAACAAAAGTTTGAGGAAGAATAACATTTATTAACTTTATATTTATTGTTGAAAACACTTTAGCATCATTTACACTACCTGGTCACATGCACTCAACATTCATAAAACAGCCTTTGTAATCACATACAGCTTGAACACTAAGACAAAAATATTGCTTATAGCAAAAGAAGTCTTGTGAGTTAGTTAATGGGCGACAAATAGGTATATGGGTGCCATCGATGCATCCAAAAGCTTTTGTCATTCCAAATTTACTTTCAAACTCTGAAACTTTATTTTTCATTTCAGTTTGATTTCTTGGAAGAAATAGATACTTAGGCCCAAGATACTTCGATATTGCTTTACAAACTGAAATTATAATGGCAGAAGCAGTGCATACTGCAATTCCAAAAGTATTTGCAGTCATTCCCAAAGATCCAGTATCTTTCAAGTAATATAAAGTAATAGCTACTTTTTTATCTGCTGATAGAGCTCTAGAGTTAGTCGAAAAAGGATCAGGAGATAAAAAGAGCTCAACTCTAAAACCAAATCCATAAAAAAAAAACAACGTGAAAGCCTAAAATTTGTTTTTCATACATCACTGGAAGCTACACCAGTTATTATATTATGCCACCATATCATATCATAATCAGTTCTGCCAGTTTTAAACCAGCAACTGTGATTTTTCCTTTTAAGGTGCCTCTCTCTTGCTTGTTTCATCTTTTAAAGTGATTGTGATCGTTTACGTAGAAGAATAACGTTGAAAGAATTATCAAGTTTAAATTTGTGAAGTTTATATAATAATATTAGGATTTTAAGAAGCGTTATTTGTGTTATAACACCAGTTAAACATATTGTTAAAATGCAATGTGTTTTTTTGTCAATAGCCGCTGTTTTAAAAATGATTATTTTATCGATAAAGAGAGGCTAGCTCCACTTGAAAAAGCCAAGCTGACCTCGATATCAATTTTTTTTTTTGGCATCAAAGATGACAAAGTTCATTTAAATGCAGTTTTAAAACTGGCTCGTTTTCCGGGCTAGCCCTTGTCCATATAAACAGGCCCTAAATTGCAAATAAATGAATAATTGGTTTATAAATAAAAAATTACTAATTGAGCGCTTGCGCTTTTTTTTTTAAAACAGGATTATTAAAAATATATATCTATATTTATTAAAAAATCTTGTTTTATGTAAATTTAATAATTTTTATAGTGTTTCATTAAACAAGTTGTTTAATGTTTTAAAATTTAATTTTTAAAATTTGTTTTATTAAACACATTGTTTAATACTAAGAAGACGAATATTTAAAACAATATAAAGAATTAAATATTCAATTTGAATAGTATCTGCAAACAAGAGTTAGTAACATTATTAACTAATTAACATTAGCAGTTTTTGAAATGATTTTAATGAGCAACAGATATAAAATGTGCGAAAGTTTTTCTTCTTTAACTTCAGAGGTTTATTTCATTATTCCAAATTGTTATATGTAATTAAGAACATAAGCTCAACCGTACTTTTTTTTTTTTAATTTATCTTTTCTATTATTTTTCGCACAGCTTTTCCCGCCATTTGCGAAGTTATTACAATGAAATGAATTATTTTTTAATAAATTAAAAGTTATCAATTGCCTTTTTGCACTTTTAAAAAAAGCATTGATTTTATTTAAAATTGTTATTATTACCCTTTAAAATTTTATTCTTTACCCTTCAAACATTAACTTATTTTTGTATTTATAAAGTTTAGTCAAGAAGAACTATTACTAAGATTTAAACAAAGAAAAAAGAAAAATTTTGACCGTCCAAAAAAAACAATTGACTGCCAATTCCTTGAGTTGACCGGTTGAATTGACCGCTCGCCGTCAATTCCTTATTTTCCACGCTGCAAATTTGTCTGTTAATGTTTATGTTTTGAAGTTTGGTTCAGATAGACAGCTGTCTATCTGAACCAAAATAATTAAACTTTAATTGTAATAATCATAGAACATATATATATCAATATAAACTTTTTTATAAAAATAAATAGTCATTTTTTTCTAAATATATTTTTAGAAAAGGATGTACTACACCAGGATGCACAGGTGCTGGGCATTCCCTAGGGAAGTATGACAGTCACAGATCGTAAGTAGCTATATGACATAAAAAACTATGTATTAACTATACAATATATAAGTAAAATCAAACTTCATCTTTATTTTGTGGAGTTTGTAAACTTGACAACAATAACATTTAAACATTTATGTGTTTAATTTTTTGTTAAACTTTTAATTTTTGTTTAAATTTTGATTTAGTTTAGTTTTCTTGACAAAATTTACAAAATCCTTTTAGTCTCTTAATTGTGCTGGGAAGTCGTATTTTTTTATCTTTTTTACCTGCCTCCAATAATCATAATTGATGCTTGGTTAATAGCATTTAAAAAAGTTGACTTTCTTTTGAAAGTTAATTTCTTCTTGTTTTTTATTAAATTTAAAATGTTGATAATATTAGCGTTTTTATTCTTTTTATTTTAGTGTTTTTTTATCTTTGACTGTTTTTAAGTTAGTTTTTGAGTTCAAGAAGAAATGTTTTTGTATTAAACTAGTAATTTTTAAAATATTAGTTTCATACAACACTTTGTTGTTGCTGTTTTACTAAATAATTTAGTTCTTTCACATAAGGCTTATTCAAATCTTTAAGTTTTCCAGGGTAAAAAATATATTGCGTCTCTAGTTTGAATCATATTATGCTAACTGTTCATAAGGTAAGGATCTTACCTGGGATAAAATGTTTTATCTCAACTCATAACTGAAAACAAATATAACAGCCTTTTTGGCATTATTTGAATGGAGTTATTTTTTTTAATTTTTGTAAACATTTATTATAGAGTTCAATTCTGTCCTTTGGTTCAAAGTGAAAAAAAGTCTAGAAAACTTGATGCTGTTGATCAGGGATATGTCGCTCCTCAGCCAAAATTGCCAGGTAATGAACCTAAATAAGTTTTAACTTGCAATATCTACATTTTAAAAAAAAAAAGACTAGCAAAATAAGTATTGTCTATATTAAACAAAGAAGTGTGTGTGTTTGTGTGTAGTAAAAATTTTAAATTATTTTTATTATTGATTATTATATATCATTGGAAAGAAGTTAAAATCAGAATTACAATAGTGATTCTACAAAAAGTTATGCTCATTTAAGTAACAAAATTTGATTACAAGGGTTGCCTAATAAAACTGCGACCAATTTTAAAATGTCAGATTTGGCTATCAATAATTTTGTTATGGAACTATGTTGTTATAGGCGCAATATTTTGCTTTATTTACATAGTTTTAACTTAAGTACATATTCTGTTTTAAAAAATTAGGTCTCTGCAGCATAATCTTTTTCAATAAAGTTTGGCATGCACGTAGAAACTAAGTTTTTAAATTATTCTCAATAGTTTCAAAAATTTTCTCAACATTCCTTCAATATAAATTTGATGTTTGATCAACAACAAAGTTAAGAAAAGTAAATTCAATAAAAGCGATTGTACTACAATAAAAACAATATAAGTTTTACTCTTCTACTTTTTAAAAAATTCTATGTTGATATAAAATTATAAAAAATAACACAATAAAATACATCCTTACAACTCATACGCTAAGCACGCTATTATAAAATGGTCAAAGATTTTGATATCGGTGCCGTAACTTATTGGATACCCTCGTACCTATATATAGTAAAGGTATTCGATTACTGTTTGTGGTAAGAAACGGCTCTTAACAACTCTTTATGTTTAAAAGTGATCCCCAAATGCCGAGAAAAGTTGTGTTCATATTAAAAAGTTTAAAAAAATGGTTTGGAAGATTATTTTGTTAATTATTTTGTTAATTTTTGGCATACGTTAATTATTTTGTTTTTATTAAAACAAAATAATTAACGTATGCCAAGAAAAACTAAGTTTGTAGTTTTATTCGAAGCTTGCATTATCCATTTTTGTTAGAATTTTATGTTTTAAAATTTTTTAAGCAATCTACAATTTTTATGCTATCGATAATTTGTGCTATATTTGTGCGTATGAGTTGTAAGGATGTATTTTGTTGTGTTATTTTTTATAATTTTATATCAACATAGAATTTTTTAAAAAGTAGAAGAGTAAAACTTATATTGTTTTTATTGTAGTACAATCGTTTTTATTGAATTTACTTTTCTTAACTTTGTGCTATATGATAATTTTCTTAACTTTATGCTATATGATAATTTATTCATTCCAAAGAGTTTTAGTTTATGATGTCATTGTAGAATTTTAATAAGAAATCTAGAAGTTCTTTATTGGGTTTTTTTTTTTTTTCTTCTTTAAAATTACTAAACCATTGTTAAAATTACTAAACTTATGTTTGTTTTCTAAAATTAGCATTAAAAATAATTTTTTTTTTACAATGACTTCATTTTTATACTGAAACTGTTTAAAACGCGCTTAAATAAATTATTAAGTCTGTAAATTGCGTCAAAAGAAGCGCGTAAATTTTAAAGACTTTAAATTCTGACTAAAAAGGAGAAGGCTTTATCTCGAACTACAGTTAGTTTTTTTTGGTAAACGTTTATTATTTTAAATGAATCATAAGAATTTCGCCGAAGCATTATTTTTAAACATATTTTTTAATATGAACACAACTTGTCACAGAACTTGGGGATCCATTTAACCAATTTGACAGTTTCGCAATTCTGACAATAGGAGATCAGAAATTTAACTTTAAATGTTAAAACTTATCTTAAATTATAAAGAAAATCCTTTTAAAAAATCCTTAAATATTGGTAAAACCAGTTAATTATATTGCGAAGTGTAATTCGTTAATTAAGTAATTTAAACCCAAATTATTTTTCAGGATAAACTTGATTTATAAAAACTTGTAAGCAATTAAAAATAGAACCTTTGTTCTTTTTTTGTTATACTCCCTATTGTTATACTAAATATTGTTCCGATTTGCATTCAACGTAAAGAATTATTGAAAATAAATGATATATATATATATATATATATATATATATATATATATATATGTATATATATATGTATATATATATATATATATATATATATATATATATATATATATATATATATATATATATATATATATATATATATATATATATATATATATGTATGTATATGTATATATATATATATATATATATATATATATATATATATATATATATATATATATATATATATATATATATATATATATATATATATATATATATATATATATATATATGAAAATATAAAATCCTATATAAAAAATTAACAATTTATTTTCTGTAATTCTTTACGTCAAATGCAAATCGGAACGGAGATAGTAAAAATTAAATTCTTAGAGTTGGAATTACCAAAGTTCTTAAAAATAAATAGCCTTAAAAACTATGTAATTAAGATATGTATCAGTAAGAGTAATGCAATAATAAAGTAACCAATAACTTAATAATAGTTAATCACGTTACATGAAAATTAGAACCTCAAATTCTCACCCGACAAAATGCTTAGTTGACAATTTTAATTCCATTTTTATTCAAAATTATTTTTTAGAATTTGGCGTTCGAATGTGCATTCATTCAAAGTAGATTTTCATTTTATTAAAATATAGCTTAACGTTGTCACTGTTAGATTGTATATCTTAGAGAACCTTGTATATCTTAGAGAACCTTGTATATCTTAGAGAATCTTGCTTCTTCTACCTTTGATCCCACAAGTTTAGTGGGTTGCAAGCGAAAATAGTGTAAACTTTTATTAGTATATAAACTTTTATTAGTTATATAGTTTTAAATGTAGTAGAAAAAAGGAGAAAAAAAATGAAGTGTTCAAGGCAAAAGTAATCATGAATGAAGTTGAATGAATCTGCTTTTGTGCCGTGTAAAGAAAAATAAGCTCCACTTACTGCTGTTATTATTTTTATTTTTATTGGAGTATATGCAAGAAATTAAGACTTATTGGAAAACTTTGTAGCTTTATCTACAATTATTGAGATTCAATATTTTTCAAAAATAAAATAAAAATGACAAATTTGAGAGGTTTTTAGAATCGAATTGGCATCAATGGTAATAAAATAGTTTAACGTATTAAAAATCTATTGTTATACGAAGATTATATTGAATAAAGTATAATGAATAAAGTTTCAAAAAAATTATTTATTGGAAATAAAAATGCAAGCAATATAAAAACAATATTTAAAAAATATAACGGTATTTCAAAAAAAAAATTTCTTTAAGGTAAAACCCGAAAAAACAAACGATTTTTTTTAAGTAATATCGATGTAATAAGTTTTGTTATAAATTAAATTTATAACAAATTTGCTTTCTTTATACGTGTGCCGAAAATCAAAATACGTTTCTGATAAGCACTTATAAGAGCATATCATAAATATGGAATATGTATAAATTACTACATAATTACAGAAAAAAATTATGCATTGCACAAATGTCTCGTTGCATAACTTTATCTAACGCAAATTAAATAATTACTCAAGTCGGCTAATAAAAAAAATTTTTGACCACTTAAAATAAATGTAACTCGGTAAGTTTACTCCTGCTAATTTTCTTAGAGGTAGTAGCACTTTAAAACTGCTATTATGACAAGTTGTAAAATAAAGAAAGTTATTAGCGTATTTTTACAGTTAAAAATACGTTCTACACTAAAATAAAATTCAGAAACAAAAATTGTCGAAAAAATTAATAGCAACAATGGTTTGTTTGTTTATTAGTATTGTATTCCTATTTCAAATAATTAGTATGTCCGTCGTTTAAAAACTTTTTTGCCATTGATTTACGATTATTATTTTTTTTAACTATATATTGCGTCATGTTTAACTTTTTTATTAATCGGCGTTACGTCACTTCTTATTATTGTTGAATTTATCAAAGATATAAAAAAAAATTTTAAACTATTCTTAACTATGTTTTATTAAATATTTAATTAGTTATCTTAAAGATATTTAACTTATCTTATAGTTATCTTAAAGTTATCTTAAAGATATTTAACTCTTATTACAACATAACATTAAAACTTATTTCAATCCAAACTTAAAATAAAACACGTTAAGTTTCGTATTTTTTTTTTTTTTTTTTTTTTTTTGATTTGTTCTTTATCGGAAGTTATCAGAAAGTTGAATATTGCGTATTTGTGAGTTTTTATATAGTAATTAACTTTGTTAATAAATACATTAATTATTTTATCTTTCTTTTTTTTTTATCTTTGAAAAACCAAAAAGTGTTTACAATTTAATTATTACGATTATTGTTTGTTTAGTAAAAAATTTTAAAGCCTTTTAATAAGCGATGCTTTTGTTTTCTCACTCGCTTGTTGTAATCTGAATACGCTCTATTCTATTTAACTGCTTTTATGCGACTAATTTATGCGAATCAAAAAAAACGTGAATGATTTAAGATTTAAGATAATAAAAACTTCGCGGAAAAAAGTTTATTTATAAAATTATTGATATAAAAAAATCTAGTGTTGATACTTTTGGATTTTTTGTTAAAAAGTTTACGAAATATTTTACTTAAAGAAATGCTTATAAAAGCAAAAGGCGAGTATTATTATCGTGAGTTAGAAAGACTTGAAAAAATACAGAAACAAAACTTAAATGGAGAGCTTATATATCGTAAAATGCGAATGAAAGAAGTTGATTCAGAATTAATTGAAAGAGTGCGGTGTATGTTTTCCAGAGGTAAGTTGTTTACCAAAGTTAATGTAAAAACATGCTGCAGTTTATTTTTTTTATTTTTCCTCGTGAGTTTTAAACAATTTTTGTATCATTTATCTGTGTGTATTTGTGTAGACTTATAATATGGCTGTTGTTTTATAAAATAGTATGACAACCATAAAGGTCTATCAAACTTGAATATAAAATAAAAACATGTTACATTAAGAAATGTCAAATAAGTATATTGAATTGTTGAATGAAACCAATTGAATTGTGACCATTAAGTTGCTAATTTAGGTTAGTCATTTTTTACCACTTCTAAAATCAGATTACAAAAAAAAACAATTTATGCTGTTGTAAACATTTTAATCGTGTATGACTAAATTTACAGAGTGGAAAGCATCTTTTAAATGTTTGGGCTAACTCAGTGTGGAGCAAACTACAAACATGCATGTGTCAAACAAGTTTGCTTTGCAAAAAATTAATGTTTGGAAATTGACTCGTGTCTAGAAGAAATTACAAACATCAAAAAACAATGCATCTGCTTTTGCTATAAGAATGCGTTTCATTCTGCAACTTGGTCTTTGCTCAATTTCAGCTGTGCTGAGTGTTGTAAAATCTTAAATAAAAAAGTTAGATTTGTGGCCCAATATGTTTGTTAAAGGGGTATTGCAAACAATATTTTTGAAGAAGTTTACAGGTATTGCAGAAGAATTCTGATTTTGGAGTCCTTATCAAATATAATTAAAACAAGAATTCTAACTATTCTCTATTTCTCTTATTCCATATTTTTGTTATAATTATTTTTAATTGTTAATATTATACTAAAAGAAGATACAAGTAATACTATATTAATAGTTAAAGTTTTTTTTTTTCTAAACTATATTGAGCAATTCCATGTAAAAACATCCAATTTTTTTATAAAATGCAGACTTAAGTCTCAGATTTTGCTGATTTTTTCATCACTCAAAGTCATAATTTTTTTTTTTTAGTTTTAAGATACAGTTTCTTGATATAGTTTGGTACAAGATACAGTTCATAACAAGTAAAATTTAATAAACAGGGGAAGGGGCTCTTAATAAGGTTAAGGTGTATGGGAAAATTTTCCGAAAATCAATAAGCATTAACTTCCATGTATGTATTTAAGTACTAATGAGTACCTAAGTACCTAACCTTTTTTTTTTTTTTTTTTTTTTTTTTACCTCTTTTTTTTTCACCTCTTTTTTTTCCTTTGATTTTCATAATTCCTGTTTTATAATTAACAAATTTAAGTAAATTTGACAATGTTTTTTTTTCTATTTAAGAAAAGACTATTCTCTAATTCTTTGTAACAACTCTAACTAGCTATTCAGGATGACATCTTTAAAAAAAAAATCAAGCTACATCAGCATTTTTGTAATTAAGCTCGCCCCAGTAAAATTGTGATAAAGGTCAAAATTACAGGTGTTGTGTTCATTTTTGACCTCGTTTTATTGGATTCTTTGCCCCAAAATATGTATGTGTACAAGTTTTCAGCTTTCCATTGCACACAGAAAGACACAAAGACCAAAACCATTTTTTAAAATAGTGGATTTTTGTTGGTTCAAGGCAGATTTATAACTTTATATCTTTGAAACTGTTAAGAATTAGGTTATGAATTTTAGGGAGATTCATAACTTGTTAAAATCTTTGAGTGTTGTAAAAATCAGGAAATTCTGAAACTAAGGGTTGGATGCCTTGAATGTTTTCTCATGAAATTGTTCTTTTTGAACTTTTCTGTTGATGTAAAAATTAAGTCTTTATTTTGATTTACTTTTTTTATTTGTAGGAGTAACAGAAAAAGATGAGGAAATGTTTAGAAATGCTCAAGAAAAAGCTAATTCATATGTGACAGCAAACAATGAGCCTGTTTCATCAATAAATAATGTGAGATGTCCACCAAAAATTGAATTTGGAAAATATGAAATAGAAACATGGTACTCATCCCCATACCCTCAAGAATATGCCAGGTATTTCAGCGCCTGTATTTTAATGACTAAAATGCTCAACTATGGTGTATTATTAGGGTGGCCACAGCTACTCTAAAATCTTTTAAAGTCCTTTTTTTTCAAAAACCTCCTCTAAAATCCTCTATTATTCTCTAAAAAGTTGAAAATATCATAAAATCTCCTCTCTAACTTCTCTTTTTTATTATTTTTTATTTCTTGATGGTTTTATAATGTTCAAAATTCATAGTCTGCAAAATGCGTAACGTCTGAAATGAGAATTGGGTTGTAAAAAAATCAATTTTAGCAAATCCATATCATCTAATAAAAAATAACATTGTTGACCCCTGTCCGAACCCCAGTTATGTGGAAACATAGGCATTAAACCTTAGCAAAATAATCCTCTAGAATCCTCTATTTTTATTCAAAATTTTGAAGTTTTGCGAAAAAAAATCCTCTAAATTAAATGGAAAATTTCCTCTAAAATCCTCTAATATCCTCTTTTTCTTATAAAAATTTTGTTTTCCCCTTTTCCTAAATTTAATATATATTTGTTTAATTTTTTACAAAAAAATTAACAAATTTAATATTATGCAAAAATTTTCCAATTTAATGATGTCCCTTTTTAATTATTTTTTTCTTTCTTTTTTGCAATAATAAAAATGTTAAACAATAATTTTTGCGTAGCAATTATTTTGTTACTATATATTGATTTTTCTTTTCTTACTATATATTATATCTGTAGGTGTTGCTGTTATTTAAATTATTTTATGAAAAATGTCTGAAAATAATTGTTATCAAGTTTCTTTTTTGAAACTTATTTAATCAGAAAAAAGTTTGAAGTAATATTTTATTTTAATATACTTGGATTTTAATAGATTTTATGTTATATTTAAAAGGGATCCGAAAAAGGGAGATTGAATAAGATATACATTTGGGCTAAATATTTTTTTTTGATTAAAACAAAAACAGTCACACTAGAGTTTTAGTTGCTGGAACAACTGATGGTAGCTCGCTTTAGCAGTGACTATGATAGTATTTGCGGAAAAGAGAAAGAGGTGCAACAATGAGACAGAGGTTCAAGCTTAGCAGCTAGAGCATTTCCAACAAATTTACAAACAGTTTTTAGGCATTCAATAGGAGAGGCTCTTTACACTTGTAAGCAAATAGAAAAAATCCAGTTTGCCAACTACTACAAAATATTGTTCTAAATTTTTGTGATTTCTGAGTTTTTATAGTAATCCATAAAATTTTGATAATTTTAGAAAGTTAAAATATCAACTTAACAAGGTTCTAGCTAACTAATCATTAACTTCCAGTTATTTTAGCTGCAAGTCAAGAGCTAAACCCCCAGATTTTTTTCCTGGTCATTCCAAAAATAATTTTTTTTTTTACCACATTGTCCCCTTGTTTCCAAAAAAAAAATGTAATTTTTTAAATAAACATTTTTTTTTTTCAACTATTTAGTGCTCCTAAACTCTATTTATGCGAGTTTTGTTTAAAGTACATGAAAACAAGAACAATTTTAAAGAGGCATTTAGTGAGTTTTTCGGGTTTTTCTTTTTTTTTTTTTTTTTGAGTTTTAATTTTTTTAAATCAATAGAGCAAGTCAGAAGTCAATTATAAAGTATATTAAACGATTGTTCGGTTTTTAAGATGAAATGTCATTGGAGTCACCCTCCAGCCGATGAAATTTATAAAAAAGATAATCTGTCAGTTTTTGAAGTTGACGGTGCAGTGAGCAAGGTTTGTTTTAGTTTAAATATGATTTAATTTATAAAAACTGTTTTTGTTATAATTGATTACTTTATTTTAAACTAAAAATTTTGAAAAATCTCTTTTTGTTAAATTTAGATATATTGTCAAAACTTATGCTTACTAGCTAAACTCTTTCTTGATCATAAAACGTTATATTATGATGTTGAACCATTTCTATTTTATGTTTTAACTAAAAATGATAATACTGGTAGCCATCTTGTTGGTTATTTTTCAAAGGTATGTCTTTTTTTTACTCTTTTCAGGTTTAGCTATAATTGTTATTTTTTTATGGATGTTATATTTTTAAAATTTAGGAAAAAGCTTGTCAACAAAAGTATAATGTCTCTTGCATCATGACAATGCCTCAATATCAGCGACAAGGTTATGGGCGCTTTCTAATAGATTTTAGTAAGTCAGTTTTCTTATTTTTTATTCATAGACACGGATGGTTGAGAAAAAATAATAAAGTTTAAGTTTGATATACCTTGTGTGCAGAAAATTTTATGTGCATCTTTTACAACTTGTAATAGTGGTTTTAGCACTTTCTTCCATATCATTTGTAGTGGCTACATTCTGGAAATTCAAATGTTTTCAGTATTTTTTGGTAAAAAAATTTTCAACTATAAGATTAAACATTTGTAGTTTTGTCATATTTGTAGTTTTTCATTTTTTAAAAAAAAGAAGATTTCTTTTTTTTTAAAGGTAAATTTATGAATTTATGTTCCTTTCTACCCCACTTTTTATTCTTAAACATTGTATTTTTTCTAATTATTAATTTATAGGTAATATTTTTTATTTTATTCTTTTTTATTTAGAGCTGAATTTAGAAAATAATTTTTTTCTTTTTCTTATTTTTTTTTCTTTTTTTGATTCTGATATTTATGAACTTTTTTTAATTTGTAGGTTATTTTTTATCAAGAAAAGAAGGTCAACCTGGTTCCCCAGAAAAACCTTTAAGTGATCTTGGGCTGATAACATATAGAAATTACTGGAAATCAGTTATAGCAGAGTATCTGCACGAGCGAATGTACGAAAAAGCTGTAACAATCAAAAGTATGTTTGAGTACTATTTCTAATTGTAGGTGTTATAGACCTTTGGTTTTTAATTAATGACTATTTTCATAGCGATAAGTGAAGCTACAGGTATGGATCCACACGACATAGCTGCAACTCTTCAGCAATTAAATGTCGTACAACTACGCAATGGAAAGTAAGTGTGAATATTTTTTATCAAACTACGCAATGGAAAGTAAGTGTGAATATTTGCTATTGTAATATGTTATTTTTCTTTTTTTCAACTTGTTTTTGTAATAGATATTTTAATGTTTGTCCATCTTTAGAGTTACTATAGTGATAAACGAACGTGTGATGAGTGAGCATATGGAGAAGGTTAAACAGCAGAAGAGAATTCCAATCGATGAAGAAGCTCTTCGTTGGACACCTTTAGTTCATTCTAGTAAGTTTTGTTGGACATTTGTTTTATATTTCACCTTACAATTTTCTAATAATTTGATTACTTTTATTAATAAGATACTTCACATAACTTGAAAGATGAAACTATGTCGTCAGAAGAAGACAATACGGACGCTGATGGTGATAATGATAAAAAATCAGACGATAGCAAAGCAGAAAATATGTCTAACAACTCTGAAACAACGTCGTGTGATACTACGAAAGCACCACTTTTTTCTATCTCTAGTAGTGACAATCAAATAGACGATTCTGGGGCTAAACAGACCGACCAACAAGTAAAAGTTATACAAAACAATGATATCAATGGTTCTAACTCTGAGTTGTTAAACCATGAATCAAAACCTGCTTTAATAAGTGATCTCGTTCATACTTCTGATGAGAAACCACATACAATTCCTTCCGATGAACGCTGCATTTCCTAATTTTTAGGTGCGTTATGCTCTATTTCTCTTATATTATCGAGAGCGATCTGCGAGTAAGCATGTTCGGACTTTTTATTTGTATCAATCACTCCTTTAGAAAGCCAATAATTTTTACTGCTTCTTGTACGATATACTTGTAAAGTGTAAGTTTAAAATTTTAAATTTCATAAGTGTTTGATAGATTTTTTTTGACTATTCCATTATCAAATGACTACTTATGAAATTATCTTATTACAAAGTATTTTTTTCAAGATTTTTAAACATTTTAAATATGTGTAAAACGCTGGCTCTCCCCAGTGTCTTTTGAGAATTTTGAGTCTTAATATTTTATTTTTATCGCCTTATTTTTCTCTGCCATTAAGTGTAAATAGATTTTCATGTACACAACGCTTATAACTAATTTAACTTACGAGTATAACAGCTTATAAATGAAGTTCATTGTGGGTCAATATTTGTCATCTTGGCTATATATAACATTTTTTCCAATAATTGGTTAATGATGACGTTTCTTTTCTTGCTGCATTGTGCCTCCGGCTAAAGTTTGACCAGGTTTTAGTAATTTTGCGTGTTTTTAATGTTTTTGCGTTTTATATAATTCTAATTGTTGGCTTAGCCAACTTGGCTATCGTGCTAAAACCACTCCTAAACAAATAATTAAAATTTTGAAAAATATTAATTTTGAATTTAGGGAGAATTGCCGATATTGAAACACATAATGAACAAATATTTTTTTAAAAAAAGATAGTTTAACTATAAAAACTTTTATGATTTGATTACAATACTATTTTAACCACAATTTGGCTTGATTGATTGCAGTATTATTGGAAATAAATTCGATTTTCTCAAGATACCATTTTGTTCCGATCTAGACATCTGGTCTCCTTATTCAGAACAGCTTGCTTTAAAAAAATAAAACTCCAGTAAAATCAGTTAAAAATTATTCTTATTTTTTTAGTGAGAATTTAAACAGTTTATTAAATAAGGTTGAAATTAACAATTTAAAAAAAAAAAGTTTTTAAATATATAAAAAATATCAATAAGATTAATATATTAAAATTATTTAATTTTGAACATAAAAATAATAGTAAATATTGTTTATGGCCTTCCTGCATCTAAAAAAGCTACATTGCAAGAACAACATGAGGAGGATAAAGAACAAATTAATAAACTATTTCATGAAATAAAGTAGAAATCGTTCCAACATTCCAAAAAAGGCTAAATACAAAACAAACTGGGAAACCGGGACCAGTATTAGTGATTTTAAATGAAGATTCTGAGAGAAATCCAATTTTAGCAAAATCTAAATTATTAAGAGAAAAGCAAGATTACAAGGAGGTTTTTATTTCGCCTGATTTAACTGAAGCAGAGATAATGGAAAACTATGAGCTTAGAAAGAAACGTGACAAAATGAATGGTGAAAGAATAGAAAACTCGCCCTTTAGATATGCGATCCGTGGAAATGGAATTGTCAAATTTAAAATACAACTTAACACAACAACATAAAAAATTAGTAAGTTTGTTATCATTTAATGTTTTATATACAAATGCAACATCTTTAGTAAACAAAGTTGAAGAATTTAAAATCTTATGCAGTTTTAAAAATCCTCAAATAATTGTTTTTACAGAAACCTGGTTTAATGAGACATCGGAAATTTATTTGGAAGGATATTCTTTGTATAAACGAAAAAGGGGGGATGGGCGTAGAGGAGGAGGGGTTGCGCTATATATAGATAGCAACCTAATATCTTATGAGGTAAACGAAGTTATATTAAATAGAAGTAAAATTGAACAAATATGGATCATTATAGTTGCAAATGATAAAAAATATTTAATTGGTTGCGTGTACAGACCAAGCGAACAAGTAGATATGCTTGAAATGAGTCAAATATTCACAGAAGCTTGTAAATTAGTAGAAAAAAATAGTTTTGCAGATTTGTTAATTATTAGTGATTTTAATTTTCCAAATGTAAAATGGTCGAATGAATACGTTAGTGATATTTAAGTAGGTGAAGATTCTGTTGAAAATGAATTTATTAATATTATATATGAATGTTTTTTGTACCAACACGTATCAATCCCAACCTTTCAAAATGCACAATATATTACAAAAAATACCTTGGATCTTATATTTACAAAAAACAATGAACGAGTCTATCAACTTGAGTCTAACCCAGTTCTAGGAAATATAAATCATGGGCATTTGGTTTTAACTTGTAAATTTAACCTTGATGCTATTGCAATGGAAAATTATCCAAAGTATAAATTTGATTACAGTAGATGTGACTATCCACAAATAAGCCTAAGTATTGATAAAATTGACTGGAATTATTTATTTGATGAGTTATCAGTTCAATATATGTATGATCTGTTTATTGAAAAAATTAGTCAATCATGTAATGCTTTTATTCCAATAATTGACGTAAATTCAAGAAAGAAAAGAAAAAATAATCCATGGTTTACTGTTGAAGTAAGTCTCCTAGTACGTTCAAAACAAAATTTGCGTTATCAAAATTTATCATCGAACTGGAAAGATTTGAATAAAGTAATGAAATATAAAAATATTTGCAAAACTGTGAAAATAGAATCGCGTAAAGCAAGATGTTACTATGAAAATGATCTTGTTGAAAAATCAAAGGTAAATCCGAAACTGCTATATAAATATGCGAATAGTCAAAAAACGATTAAACAAGTAATTAAAGCATTGAGAGATCAAACTGGTTGCGTAACAAATGATCAAAATGAAATTGTTGAAATTTTAAATAAACAATTTCAAGATGTGTTTACCATCGAAAATTCTACAGAAGAGCTTCAACAAATTGAGAATTTAGGGGATATTATTATTGATGCAGTTAATATAAATTATTTTGATGTTTTAATTAGATTGAAAAATGTTGATATTAATAAAACATATGGAGTTGATTCTATACATCCGTTGATTTTGAAAAATTGTGCGGATTCTGTAGCATTGCCATTAACTTTAATTTTTATAAAATCTTTTGTTAAAAGTGAACTACCAACTCAATGAAGAGCAGCAAATATTACACCACTATTAAAAAAGGGAGATAAATTAGAAGCTGCAAATTATAGACCAGTGTCATTGACGTCAATTACATGTAAAATTATGGAAGGTATAGTCAGAGACTGCATACAATCATATTTAATGAAATATAAATTAATATCGAATTCACAACATTGTTTTGTTAAAGGGAAGTCTTGTACAACAAACTTATTAGAGGCGTTGGATTATATTTCATTTAATTTATCGATTGGTATTTCGGTAGATGAAGCACTTTTAGATTTTGTTAAAGCTTTTGATTCTGTTGCTCACAAAAGACTATTGATTAAACTATCTTCATGTGGAATTAGTGGTTTATTATTAAAATGGATTGAAGCTTTTTTAAAAAACAGAATCCAAAGAGTTATCCAAGGTGATGTTGTTTCTTCATGGCGCAAAGTCTTCAGTGGTGTTCAGCAAGGATCCGTAATAGGGCTCTTATTATTTGTTTTTTTTATTCATGATATATCAAATATATTTAAAAATAAGTCAGTATTGTATGCAGATGATACAAAAATTCTTTCAAAAGTGAATGAAATAAATGTGGAAAATAGCTTGCAAAAAGATCTGGATAGTGCAGAGGAATGGTCTAAAAAGTGGCTCTTGGGTTTTAATTCTAGTAAATGTGTTATAATGCATTATGGTACAAATAATCCGCAATTGAAATATACTTTAAATGGTGTTGAACTGAAAGATTCTGAATGCGAGAGAGATTTAGGTGTATATTTTTCAACAAGCTTGAAATGGAAAAAACAAATTATATCAAGTACTTCTAAAGCAAATTCAATGATGGGTATGTTAAAGATGACATTTTCACGAATTGATGCAAAATTGGTTAAAACATTGTATAAGGTATTTATTAGACCTCTTATTGAGTTTGCAGTACCTGTTTGGTCACCTTATTTTAAAGGAGACATATCACTTTTGGAAAAAGTTCAACACAGGATGACTAGATTAGTTCCATCATTAAGGAAAATTAATTATGAAAAGAGATTGGAAATATTAGGTATATCTACATTAAAAACAAGGAGGGAACGTGGGGATTTAATACAAGTGTTTAAGTTACTTAACAGATTTGAGGAAATTGATTTAATTAATGAACCGAAGCTTAAAATTGATTCAATTACTCGAGATCACAATCTTAAATATGAAAGAGAAATTGTGAACTAGATTAGTTCCATCATAGAACTATTTACCTCGGCATCATTTTTTATTAAATCGTACGGCCAATTTATGGAATGCTTTACCGGAAACTGTTGTTACTTCAAAAACTGTCAATCAATTTAAGAATAGATTAGATGAGTATAACGCCAAATCAAAGAAGTTTTAACTAAACATTTTTAATATATATTTGGATTATCAAAGTGTGATAAACTACACTCTATCAAAGTGTGATAAACCACACTCGCTGGAATTATCCAGTTACAGTTTAGCTACTAACTAACTAACTAGATAAAAACAGAAAATTGAATTTTTTTACTATGAAAATTGGGAGCCTTATAATTCTCATGCTATTTTATCTTATACCGTATTATATTACTTAACAATTGTGTGTTTTAAGTCAATCAATTTAACAAATTTTATATCTTTAATTTTAACGAATTTAACAAATTATAAAAGTTTATGAGAGTATAATAAATTTTCTCTCGACATTACAAAAGGGAGATAAAACCCTGTTACGTCACGATATGCAAAAATTCACCTTTTGCAAGGCGCTATACAAAAAAAAAAAAAAATTTAATTCCGTAATAACAACTTGCGAAATGATTTGTTTCAAAAGAAGACTTTTACAACAGCTCCTTACAAAAAATTTCGAAACGTGCACTTACGGAAAATAATCGAAAACATACTTTAACGTATATTTAATTCCTAGAAATTAATGTGAAAATATGAAGTTTAATACTTCATATTTTCATAAACTGTAAAAATAATAAAACTTATTAAAATATTCATATGCAGTATATATCTTGAGCATCATTCTGAGAAAAAGTTACCCAAAGAATTGTTTACTTCTCCTTTATATTTTACATCAGAATCTGGTCTTAGGTCGAAAACGAAATCAATTTACCTCTATTTATGTTTTTAACATGACATAAACTTGGTTTTTCTTTACATTTTATTTTCTGGTTATTTAAGACACCAAAATCTATTGTGTCAAGATATCTTAATACATGGTCAAGTTTTACTTTTTTTTTTTACAAGTTTTTTAAATATTATTTAATATTATTTAAGTGTCCCTAAAATGGACTATATTATCAATTAAAAAGCACTATATTATTAAAAAGGGCTCTCTCTCTCTCTCTCTCTCTCTCTCTCTCTCTCTCTCTCTCTCTCTCTCTCATATATATATATATATATATATATATATATATATATATATATATATATATATATATATATATATATATATATATATATGACATCTTAATAGTATGATGAAATTTATATATAAAATTGAAAATACATCATATACGGTGACATACTATTTATTTAACTATTAAAATAACATTTAAATAGTCTTTAATAGTTAAATAAATAGTATGCCACCGTATGTGATGTACTTTCAATTATATATATATATATATATATATATATATATATATATATATATATATATATATATATATATATATATATATATATATATATATATATATATATATATATATATATATATATATATATTCTCATGACATTAGATACTATTTCATTAAAAGATGTATTTAACATTTAACTTAAAAATTTAACAAAATCAACACTTAAACAACACTTAAATACAAAAAAAAAATTTAATAAAAATTAAATAAAATCATCCAGTCTCGAGGCAACAGCTTTCATCATTCTTTGCATAAAATTTTTTTTACAAAATGCTGCTCTTGATAATTTCTTTAAGTCTGAGCTACTACTTGAAAAGGATATTGTATTATTCTTTTTCTAGCTAATATCATAAACTAAATGATTTAAACAATGAAAATTAATAGATGATCAGAGTAGAGCACTCTGACATTGTTCTCAAAGCAACAAAAAAGTTCATGAACATAACCTTATTCAGTCAATTAATCTTTTCTGTACAGCTTATGTTCAGTATAAGCTACACTTAAACTAACAATTAAAAATTGGATGTATTTTTCTTTCTTGAGTATATGATTTCAAACTACTAACCCAAAATATAAAAAAAAAGTAACAATATAAAAGAAAAAAATATATTTTAGAATTGGTTTTACAACATGGTTTGCAATTAAATTCTATATGAATGTATTTGTTCAAGGATCATAAATAAACAGGTTATTAATTTGCACAGATGACAATCAAAGAAGCAGCCCTTTTACCAGATAAAATGTATATTTTTAGTATAAGCAAGGTCCCCATCTTAAATTACATTGAGAGGGAACTGCTGTACCATATCTACTTTAAGTGACTCCAAGACACTGATATCCTTATAATGATTTTTCTGATTTTTTTTTCCTTTAAATGTTTTAGCAGTGAGTACCAGTGGGCATAAAAATTTATTATAATGTCATAGGTTTATTCCACCTTACAATCACATCCATATTGACCATTATAAAGATTAAATAAGAAGTGCATCACAAATTAAAATATTTTACCGTTTATTTGTATGACTTTTCCATTATTATAAATAATGTCATCTGCCATGAGGGGTCTTCCATAAAGTATGGATGCTGGTTTAGGGGAGGAGTTTACCCAAAAACTTATGAATGCGTACAAGAGAGAGAGAGAGAGAGAGAGAGAAAGAGAGGTTAAACACACCAAGTATGTACGTGGTGTGACTAATTCTCATTCTCTATCTATTTGAAAATTTGATTTCTTTTTTATTAACATAAGCATAGAGTTTCTTGAGTTTAAATTGTTATTCTGGTAATAATTCTGTTATGTGTGATGTCAAAAATTTTTGTTTTTAATTCTTTGAAAAAATTATGCGTTGGAAAAATGGTTGGGGGAAAGGGTTTGATTTTTTGATAATAGATATGCATACAGTGGGAGAAGGGGGCATAAAAAGCATACAGGTGTGTACAAAAGAAAGGGGTTCCTTAATCAGTGGTTTTACTGTATACATACTTTATGTATGTTCCCCTAAGGTGAAGTCTTTCAAGTTTTCTAAACTAGTTGACATCTGTAATCCACAAAACAACGTCACAACAAATGGAACAGTTTCACAAATATTGTCAATATGATACTAGATTGGCCAGAGAAACATACTTGCCCTTTTATGGATTTATGGATTGGCGCTCTGTCAATGGTTAAAGACTAACTTTGCAAAGTCTATAGTATTGCTTAGATCTCAAAATACCATCTTTAATTTTTTTATTACTATTTTTTATCAAAATACCATCTTTTATCCTAAAATACGTATACTCACCAACTAAACCAATAAAGAAGCAATATGAGGCAACTAAATGCAGTTAAAGAAAAATAAAAAATAACATTTAAGTAAAAATAAAATAACTGCAAAGAAATATCAAAAGTAAAGTATTCAATACAAATAATTAAATTTTTGAACAAGTCTAACAATTTAAATATCTTGGAAGATTTAAAAACCTAACATCTAAGTTTTAAGGCATTTTCAATAGCGTCATAACTTGTGCTGGAAGATCTACACAAAAGTGATTAAAATGTAGTTGCTCTTGTTAGAGTACTGAACATTTAATAGTCCATCGACTAGGTCTTCTCTAAATGTCAGCATAATATTATATTATGCTGACATTTTACTCTTATTCAAGCAACCAGAATTTTTAACTTCTACATATACAACATAATTACAAAGGGTATTTATTAACTTTTTTGGCCGTAAATAATAATGGGAGCCGGTCGTGCTTGTAAAATGGCGAATCAAAGTAAGTTTAAATATTTGCTGAAGATCATTGTATGAACATCAAATTATGTCTATAGCTGCATGAATAATTCATTAAGATTGACTTATTATCTTGTAACTGTAGTTATACAAATACTACATTTTGTACGTATAAAAGGTGAAAACGACAAAAACAAAAAAAACACTTAACCCCACATAATGCTGATAAATTAGATGAAGATAGTGATCATTCAATATCAAACTTAAAAACCTCTGTCTTTAATTGCATGTGAAATTAGTATTCATGGAAAAAATAAAAATAAAACAAATCCCAATAATATCAAGCAATGTAAATAGTATATCTGAAAGAAGATTTAGTGAAATTGTTGTCAAAAAAATTAACAATCATGATAAAATTAGCACAAAGAAGTTGATTATGGACAATATCAAACCAAAAGAACTAGGAGTAGAAATTCAATATATCCGAAATCATAATAATGAAGTAATCATAAGGTGTAATGACGAAAAATCAAAAGACAAACTCTATCAGGAAATTAAAGGAAAATTAGGTGTAAATGTCTCAGTTGAAAAAGGTAACACTGAAAAAATGAAAAGGATTGAATTTAAGATTACCAAACACGATGAGGTATTTAATGAGATATTGGCAAAAGATATAATAGCTCTAAATAATAAGGTTAAAGTTATAGTTGTAAAAAGAATTAACATGACAAAGAATAAATATGAACTGGTTATAGCTGATATAGATATAGACACATTATAAATAAGAAAAATGGTAGATTAGCAATCGGCTGGGAGTCTGTGCAAATTTGAAAACATATAAATATTATTCAATGTTACCATTGACAAGGTTACAATCATATAGCAAAAAATTGTCACTTTAATACTCCTTCATGTTGCTACTGTTCAGGTGATCATTACAGTAAAGATTGTCAAAATCACGAAAGTAATTGGTGTGTTAATTGCTTTAGCAAAAACAAAAAATTCAATTTAATGATAAATCCTCAACATTGTGCATTCGATAAAAAAAATGTCCAGTATATAATGACATTAAAAATAGAGTGGAATTAAAGTATGACAACTAGCAATCAATAGTAGTAAAAGACATTAAAATTGCTTATACAAATATAAATGGTCTCATAAATAAACTTGACAGAGTTACACTATATGTCTATATGTACAAAAATTTAAACCTCATATACTTGGATTAACTGAAACCCATATAACATCCTTAATCTTTGAAAAAGAGCTTGAAATTTTTGGTCATTCTTTTATAAATTTAGAATCATCAAGTGCTCATACCGGTGGTTGTATATTATATTATAAAAATGACATAAAAGTA